CACACACACACACACACACACACACACACACACACACACACACACACGGACTTGGCCTCGCCACCTGCCCCCCAATCTTCAACCCCAGGTGACAGCTGTAAACACATCTGGTGAGCTGCCCTTCGAAATATTCTAGATGGCTCCTCCAGCCCTCTTGAAGGATTCATAGTTGTGCTTTGTTTTTGTTTCTAAATGAGATTGGATTCTATGTATTGCTTTGTAACTTGCTGTTAAAAAAAGTACCACTGGGCCTTGAGGATTGAGTTATGGCGGCAGACACAGACCCCACTTCCCTTTCAAACCTGGCAGGATTTAGTAGCTGCCCCACTTGTGGTCATTCGGATTGTTCTAGGCTTCCTTTTCAGAGAAGGCTGCTGGAAAGCGGCGGGTTTTGCTGGCCATGGGGGTTTTATTTCGCTCTCACCGGACCCTGCTCTGCTGTCACCAAGAGGTGGTGGTGCTCTGTGAAAAACCCCTCTTGCCCACCCACGAAGAACGGCAGACCCTTCCCCTGGGCGGTGGAGACAGAGAAAGTTGATGTCCAAGCCCGCCTGCCTCCTCCTTTCCTTCCCTCCCCACCCCCCAGCCCCCACCCCCCCACCCCCCCACCCCCGCCCCAACCGGTGAAACCAGATACTCTTTCATTCTTGCTCCTTTGTCATCTACTCAAAAGGCAGAGGGAAAACCTGTTCCCCGAGACCAGAAATCCTCCCCTCCCTCCAGTCCCGGTTCTGCCCCAGCAAGCAGGCAGCCAAGTCAACGGGCGCCTTTGGGGACAACCGAGGTTGCCAAGGTAGGGAGGGCACCCTGCTCAATAGAGTGGAAGCAGGTATGAAGCACACGAAGCACACGAAGCATCCACCTGCTCAGCCACGGCCCCCCCTCCTGCTCCCAGCACAGCAAGGGGCTCCACCTGGGGTCCCACAGGATGCAGGCCTCAGGACTCCAGGAGTAGAGCTTCCCATTTCTCCCAGGCCATGCTCCCGCCTGCCTCATCTATGAGCATGTTATAGTGGAATTGCCTGCACCCCCTGCCCGCCCTCTGGGGTGATGAGCGCTTCACTGGCCGGGCCCTGGCTCAGAGAGCCGATATTGACCCAATTCACGCACTGAGGGAGCCCTGTGTCAGATCCAGGCACTGGGGATGCAAGGGAACTAAAAGGCCAACCCCTGTCCTCTCAGAACTCAGTGTTTGTTGAATGAATGAGTGATTGTTGGCAGCCGAGGAGCCTCACTGCAACTCTGCCCCATTCCTTCTGCCATAAAAAGGGCAGAGTGAACCCAGCTTCACTTGCTAGTGTCATGAGGGTCAAATGGTCCACGGTCAGTTTTCCCGGCTTGGCCCTTTATCAGAATCCACCCCCCCCCCAGAATCCACCACCCCCCACTCATGACATTTGCAGATTCTTGGGCCCCTCCCCGGGCCTGCATCAGAACCTCCTTGGAAGAGGCTGGAATCCGAGTGTTTAACAAGGCCTGGGTGCTTAGGGTGTTGGAGAGAGCTTCCAGCAGCCATGTCCCCTGAGTCTCACTGGATGGCCACTCACCGTGGGGCCCCTATCAAGAGCTGACCTGACCCAGTCACCCCTGCATTGAAAGCAGAGCCCCCACATCGGGGATCAGGCCCAGGACCCAGCCTGGGCTTCTCCCCCACCTGCCTCTCCAGCCTTCCAGCCATATTGACTTTCCTAGGCTCCACCAAAGCACCAGGCCTTTCACTTCCAGACTTTTGCCCATACTGTTCCCCATTCCTGGAACACTCCCTTCACCCCTCCTTGGGCCACACCACTCCCTGGGCTGGGCTTACTCAGGACCTACATGTACCTTCCACCCCCGTGACCAGCCCTGGCCCCCGTTGGGGTCTCTCTCAGCCCTGCCCTCTGGGTGCACACTTCCCCACTGAGCCCCGCAGAGGGGAACTGCAGTGGGGCCACAGTCCCTGGTTGGACAGAGGGGAGGGGCCCAGCAATATTCCCCTCCCTTTGATTTCTGTCTTCAAATAGAACGCGGAGGAAGTCAGGGCCCCACAGTGGGTCTGAAGGCCCAGGTGAGACCGAGGGAGGAGGAAAAGGGGCTGTTCCCTGCTGCCCGCAGGGCACCTGTACAGAAGCCCCGAATGGGCATTCAGCATGTCCCTGGTCAGCCTGTCCTACCTGCTCGGTGGCCCAGCTCCATCGACTCTTGCTCTGGGATAGGTAATTCCAAGCTTAGTCCTGAAGACAAAGAAACACATTTAGTCATCTCAGATGACACAGTCTCTGCAGAAAAGGATGAACAGAGAATTAAACAGGGAGGCTTGTGGCCATCTGCCCAGCCCCTGACCCGAGGTCCCTCCATGCTGTTTCCAGTCCTCTCTGGTACTCAGCAAACCCCTTCCCCCGTGCTGCCGCCATCACCCATCCCCACCCCCGCCTGCCTCCTGGACCCCTGCAGACTCTGTCCTCTCTGGAAAGCCCGGGTCACTTCCAATGCCAGTGCTTCAAAGAACTTTCTCAAACAGCCTGGGGGCCGTGAGCGCCTCTTGCCCTTTGCACGCTCTTCCTTCCACCTTCTCCCCTATCTGCAGCACCCAATGCTCCCCTGGGATTCCCCAGCAGGCCCCTGGCTGTGGGAGGCCTTGCCCCAAGCCCCTTATCCTGGTGACTTTTTGCCTCCCTGCAAGTAGGACTGTGTCCCTTTTACTAGCTGGTCATTCAAGCTCAAGGAAAAGGAACCGGCTTGGCCATCATAGGAGAGCTGAGAGCAGGAGCCTCGCGGCTGTGACCTCAGTCTCTGCTCCACAGAACAGGTCTTTGGGCCAATTTAGAGCAGCCCTGTCATCTACAATAGCCCCTGTGGCTTTCGGGTTTGTGTTCCTTTTCCTAGTGAACTTCTTCTTATTCCTAATACCTGATTTTATTGCAGTGTCTTTAAGATTTTTGTGAATCTTGTAATATGAAAAAGTAAAACAATTTATTGTATACAGTGAATGTTTAGTACCCAGGCCTAAGCAGGAAGTAGCTTTGTAATAAGGAAAGCATAGAAGTAGCAGGTCAGAGCTGGAAGGGATCTTTGGGATCAATTAATCCAATCTCTTCATTTTGCAGATAAAGAAACTGAGGCCCAGAGAGGGGGAGTGATTTGTGCTAGGTCACCCAGCAAGCTGGTCTGCTGGTAAGCTCAGAGCAGATTAAGAACCAGATTGATTTTAGGGACGCCTGGGTGTCTCAGTAGGTAAAGCCTCTGACTTCAGCTCAGGTCGTGATCTCAGGGTCCTGGGATCGAGGCCTGGGTTCGGGCTCCCTGCTCAGCAGAGAGTCTGCTTCTTCCTCCCCCTCTGATTCTCCTCCCACTCGTGCTCTCTCCTCAAATAAATAAAATCTTAAAAAAAGATCAATTTTCTTTTGAAGAAATCACAAAGCAAAACACCCTATTAATGTTGACACTTAATAATTGTGTGGTGATAACTGTGTGATCGTGCAGCTTCTGATGGACTGACTCCCCATGATCCCTAGTTTCATAAGACCTACTGTTGGGGAGGGACTGAACTTAACGGAATACCCTTCTGGTATTCTCTGGTATTGGTATTGCTCTGGTATTCCACAGCATTAGCCCCCCACCCCATCCCCCTGACTGTGGGCTGGACTTAGCAGCTTGCTTCTGATCAAAAGAATATGATGAAAATGGGAGGATGTCACTTTGAGATTAGATTAATGACTTTTGTCTTATTCACACTCTTTCTCTGGCTCTTCTTGGCTTGTTTGCTCTGGTGGAAGCAACTGCCATGTATTGAGCTGCCCCATGGAGAAGCCAACAGCTCATGAGGAAGGGAGACCCTTGGTCCAATAGTCCTCGAGGAACTGCATGAATCTTGCCACCCAAATGAGCACGGGAGTGGATTCTTCCCCAGTTGAGCCTTCATATGAGAACATAGCCCAGCTGACACATTAATTACAGCTTGTGGGGGACCCTGAGGCAGAGGACCCAGCCGGGCTACACCCAGGATCCTGACCCAAAGAAACTGGGAGATAATAAATTTGTACTTCTTTTTAAGCACATAGTTTTAAGTTGCTAAGCTTTGTGGTCATTTGTCATGCAACAGTAGCTCACTAACATATAGTTTGGTACCAAGAATGGGCTGCTGCTGTAACAAATACCTAAAAATGTGGGAGTGGCTTTGGAACTGAGCAGTGGTTGGAGCATGCATGGATTTTGAGGAACATGATTGAAAAGGCTTAAATTGCCTTAAACAGATAATGAGTAGAAATCTGGACTTGGAGGATGCTGTCACTGCAGGCACAGAAGGATGTGAGGAACATGTTCTTAGAACCTGGAAGAAGACATGTCCTTGTTATGTAGTGACAGAAACTTAGTGACACTGTCACTGACAGTTATGAGGAAAGCAGAACGTGTGACTAATGAGCCAGGGGATCTAGCAAAGGAGATTCTCAAAGGTGCTTCCTGGTTTCTTCCTGCTGCTTGTACTGATTGTGAGAGAAGAAAGAAACATTGAAGGAAGGACCATTAAACATAAAAGAGGCAAGACTTAATAGTTTTGGAAATTCTCATCCTCTCCAAGTGTCAAAAAATGCTAAAATTAAGAAATGGCTTCAGAGCACTGTCAGGAAAAGGTAACCAAGGGTGCGACTATACCACATTTTGTTAAAAGCTTATAAAGATGAAAAGCTCAGAGCATATTATTCTGTCACACAAATGATCCTTTAAAGAGATAAGGATGCATCTCACAGACCCCCCAGTTGGGTAATAGGGCCTCTAGGAAGCTTACGGGTGCTGTCTCTCTGCAGGAGCCCCAGGAGAGAGGAGCATAGCTATTGTCTAGCAGTGCGAGCCCCTGCAGGCTTCAGTTATTGAGAAAACCATATCAGCAAAAGCACAACCAGCTTGCAATAAAGGGGGCAGAGAGAGTACAAAATGGGACAAAAAAAATGGGAGAGATTAGTGGACTCTCAAATTCTACTGGTAGAACAGTCTGACAAGACTGCTCAGCATACACACATGTTCTTATTTATTTATTTTATTTTTTTAAAGATTATTTATTTATTTATTTGACAGAGAGAGACACAGCGAGAGAGGGAACACAAGCAGGGGGGAGAGGGAGAGGGAGAAGCAGGCTTCCTGCTGAGCAGGGAGCCCGATGTGGGACTCGATCCCAGGACCCTGGGACCATGACCTGAGCCGAAGGCAGACGCTTAATTACTGAGCCACCCAGGCGCTCTTTATTTGTTTTTTTAAAAGGATAGAGAGTGGAAGAGAGTACCTGTTGGGCAGAGCTGAGAACCATGGAGAATTACTTCCAGGCCTTGAAACCCAAACAGGAAAAGTTCAACATTTCCTTGGCTGGATTTCAGAACTGCTATGGGCCAGTGACTCCTTTGTATCTCCAGTGTCCTCATTTTTGAATAGGGATATCTATCACTCTTTTCCTGGGGCTGCCACACCATTTTGTGGTGGGTGTGTTCAGAACAGGTAGCTTAGTTTCATAAGACCTACTCTTGGGGAGGGACTGAGCTCAAGAAACCACACCCAAGGAGTCTCATCCATGCCTGGGCCTGATTTGTAGAACCAGGTTCTAGATTTAGAGCTGATGGAATGAACCCTTTGTAGATCTTAGGCAGAAATGAATGCATTTTGTGTACGGAAGGGATGTATATTATCGGGGCCTAGAGGGGGCAGTGAGGTGGGCAGTTGACATGGCTCCCAAGGATCCTGTTCCCTGCTACTCACAACTTTGTAGAATCCCTCCCCTTGAGTGTGGGCTGGACCTGTTGACTTGCTTCTAATCAATAGAATATGTGATAGGATGCTACTTCCAGGGTTATTGAAGATTGAATATAGAAGATTGTGACTCTGTCTTGTTCATGCTCTCTCAGGCTCTTCTTGGCTCACTCACTCTGATAGAAGAAGGGTCCATGTCATGAGCTGCCCTCTGGAGAAGCCCACCTCAAGGATCTTAGGGGGGCTCCTGGCCAACAGCTCACGAGTAACTGAGACTCTCAGTTCAACAATCCACGAGGAATTGAGTCCTACCAAATGAGTGGCCCTGGAAAGGGGTCCTTCTCTAGTTGAACTTTGATTATAGTCTGTAGAAGACCCTGAGACTTGGGATCCATTGGAGCTCTATCTGTATTTCTGACCCAAAGAAACTGTGAGATAAAAAATCTTCTTAGAGGCACCTGGGTGGCTCAGTCAATTAAGCATCCAATTCTTGATTTTTGGCTCAGGTCATGATCTCAGGGTTGTGAGACTGAGACCCACATCAGGCTTCACACTGAGTGTGGAGCATCCTTGGGATTCTCTCTCTCACTCTGCCTTTCTCTCTCAAAAATTAATTAGTTAATTTTAAAAAATGTTCTTAAAGCCACTAAATTTTGGGGTGATTTGTTATACGGCAAGAGATACCTAATGCAGTTCATATGCATTCTCACATCTAATAGATTAGTCTTCGTAAGGACTCAGGTGTTCAGAGAAAGTATTAACTCTCTGTCTTTCACGGGTGGAGAAAATGAGGCTCAGAAAAGAAATAAGACCTCAGCCAGGTGGCACTGAAACCAAGCCCGACATCTTCTGTCTCCTTCAAGCGAGCTGCCTCATCCCCAGTTACCCACCCGCTGTGCCCACGGCTGTGTCCCATCTGCCCTAATGGCACCCCCAGTCCAGAGCAGCCTGGACTCCCTTGAACAGAAGTGTGGACTCACTGCCAGTTTCTGATCTGGAAAGAAAGGTCCCAAGAGACGTCAGTCAAGGAGGATGGGGGCGGAGGTCTAGTTGCTTCTGGGTACTCTTCCCTCACGAGCAGCCCTGAATGGAGAGAGGGAAGATGAAATCCCAGGCCTCGGGAGACCCCCGCCCACCTCACAGTTCTCTGCCTCACTTCTCCACTCTCTCTCATAACATCAGAAAACACGTGAACCACTCTGGTGTGTGCTGAAGCCCAGGAGTGCAGATCCACACTGCAAAAACTGCTGGTGAAGACTACTAGGTGGTTGCTAGGGAGCAGCCCTCCTCCACTGTTCACTGGAGTCACCGTGGTGAGCATTATTCATAGGGCTCTATTACCTCAGAGGGCTTCTAGGCCCACCCTAGGGAACTGAGGCCAGGGAAAGCCAGTACTGGGGGGAGGGGGAGGAGCCTTCAGGCATCGTTCACTCTCTCATCCCCTCAAAATGTTTCCAGAGCCCCCCACATGTGTCAGGTTGTGTATCACGCACAGAGGGTCCAGATGCCATCAGGTGGAAAGGAAGTTCTTGGGATGACAAAGGATTAAGTAGAGAGAATGATGAGTTTTGTCTGGGGAAATGAGTCATTTGAGCTGGGCTTTGAAGGATGCATAGGAGTTTAACAGCTTAGACGGGACTTGACTATAAAAGGCCTGGATGTGTTTATGAGCATAAATATAGGCCAAGAGGAGTGGGGGGGGAGGGGAGAGAAAGGTGCACCTGAAGCTCTCTGAGCTGGACATGAAGGGATCAGGGACCAAGGAGTAAAATGAGAGCAGGATGAGACAACGAGAGTCGGCTCTCCCCTGCTCGAACCACGAGGGCTACCAAAGATGAATAGTTCAGTGGCTTCTGCAGCTGGTGTCAGCAGGAACTCAGTCCTGTCTGGCTGTTGCTTAGCAGGGGTAGGGCTCCAGGGGCTGCCTCCTCATGCCAGCCTTCCAGGGGCTCCCCAGGTGGCAGAGAGCTTGGTGACACTCGGGACCCCTGAGTCTGGGCCTGCCACTTAAGAAAAGAGTGACTTTGGCCGAGTTCTTTGGCTGAACTTTCCTCATATGTGAAACAGACACAGCTCACCGCCAAGGGTAAGAACGAAGATTGAGCGAAATCACTTTCGAGAAGCGCCTAGCGCATCGCTTGCCACAGAGAGATGTCTCCTGTAACCCACAGCTAACCCCGTAAGCGACTCATCAGCAAGGCCTTCCAAGTACACCAAACTCGCACCCCTTCAGCCACCTCCACTGCCCGCCCCCCACCCTGGCCCCCAGTCCAGACCTCTTGCCTCCTCACTGGTCTCCTGGGATTACTCTCTTCCACGTTATCTATTGCTGAGTGACAATATGACCGCAAACTCAGCAGCTTCACACATTCCCTATGGCAGTTGCTGTGGGTTGGGGGGTCTGGGCGTGGCTTCGCTGGATTCTCTGGTCACTCAAGGCTCCAACAAAGGACCTAAAGCTGGCATGACAAGGACAGCATGGAGGCAGGAAGGGTCAGCCTTAACCCTCTTCCACGCAGACCCCTCAGGCCTTCAGCCTGATACAGCCTGACACCCAGGCTCCTCAGCATTTACTGAGCACCTGCCTGCCTCTACGCCAGCCTAAGGGCTGGGGCACGTCATTGACAGACTTGGTCCCTGGCCCTTGGTGGCCCTGTCTTTGCCCAGGAAGGCTGCGCGGTGGAAGCAGGGAAGCCCCATTAGGGGAGTCCAGCGGTCAGCGTGCAGCCTGTGAGGGGAAAACAGCCCTCCTGAGGTGCTGCCCAGACATTTGACGATAGGACAACCCTCCTTGAACCCCAAGTCTGGACATAGACAAGGCCCTGAGCTTAAGATTCCTGTCTCAAATTCCAGCTTTGTCTTTCCCAGGGAACCTAGGAAAATAACCACTTTGAGCTGAGCCCATGGAAAGTTAGTGCCCTCAGCCCTAACTGCCTTAGGAGTAATAGGCTCTCTGTTCTGTCTTGCCAGCTCACGGGTGACCTGGGACAGAGGACTGCCCTCCTCTGGCTCATCACCCCCCACCCATGTCTGGGATCTGTAAGTAATAAATCTTGTGACTTAACTTCCTTTGTGTGGGTGTATTGAAACGGCATCTCCCGTCAAAATAAACCCAGGGTTTTCACTTTCCCAGGTGGGAGCTCGGAAGCTGAGGGGGCTACCTGCCGACCCTGAGGGGTGAGGGGGGGCTTGTGCCCCCTGAATCAGCAAGTTGTAAACGGATGATTCTGAATTCAGTACATCAGCTATAGGTCCTCCAACACATGGCCCCAAAGGAGGGCTTAGAAAGCCTTTTTCTAGGAAACTCAAAATCCAGCCACGAGGGTCCAGTCTTCTTCGGTAGCTTCACACTGCCAGGGCTCTGGAACTGTTTCCCGGGGCTGAGGCTGCTTCTCCAGCCCCTCTTCATGTGCTCCCCAGAGGGTCATATTCTGAGCCAAGGACACCCCAGGTGGAGGCCACCTTCCTCGGGCCTGCTTCTGAGCATTGCCTCTTCTGAGGGGCCCCAGGGCCTTGTGCGGTGACACAGTTTTGGAAGGCCGGGTGCCCCCACCCTGTTCCCCACACCCAGAGCACTGGGCCTACAGCAGGAGCAGTGTGCGCCCAGCTAGGCTCGGTTTTGTTTCTCCTCAGCTTCCTGTCCCACTTCCAGGTAGGTCCCAGTATGCTGTACCTGACATGGGACAACGGGTGGCCTCCTTTGCCAAAACGAAATAATAGACTGGCATCCTCTGCGTGGCCTCCCCAGCTAGGGGCTGCTCTGGAGGTTTCTGGCCTCGGTGGGTTCTAAGGAACATGAAGGAGCTGGGCACATGGGGCAAGGGTGACACCCAAGGAGAGGCAGGCAAACACAGCTACTCAGAAAAGGCAATTTATTCCAGTGTTTCAGGGGAAAGGAGAGCTTTGCATAGCAATTCTAAAACGTGGTCAGTCTCCTTTGCTGAAGAGGTATGCGCTGCATGTCAGGCTGCGGGCACTAAACAGATGGGAGCTGCCAGCCAGCGAGGAGGCCCACCACTCAGGCCTTCTCGCGCTTCCACTGGGACACACGGGTCTCCGGGGGTGCCCGGCGGAACCACTCAGACCAGGAGCCATCATAGACGGCCACATCCGGCTTGCCGCAGAGGTAGGCGGCCAGGGCGATGTGGCAGGCGGTGACTCCCTTCCGGCACATGGCAATGAGGGGCTGTGCTAGGTTCACCTTCTTGGCCTCGAACATAGCACGCAGCTCCTCTGGGCTCTTCTCGAAGCCGTCCGCGGTCAAGAAGTCCATGAACGGCATGTTGACTGAGCCTCGGATGTGGCCCGGGTCCAGTCCTGGGCGCAGCAGAGGACAGAGGGAAGGACAGGTTTAGGAGCGGCACTGGGGGGCGGGGACAAGTGGGGTGTGGCCATAAGGCTAGGGAGCTTCAGAAACAAAAGTAGTACCTTTGCCCTTCTCAGAGCTCAATTTACCCCTGGTCCAACCTACACTGAAGGCTGGAGACAGAAGACAAAGGGCCCCCTCCCCCAAAACCTGCCTTGAAGTAGGGATGTCCAAAATCATACCTGCTTGGGAGGACAGGGATGAATCTCAGCTCTGCCATTTACTGGCCTTCTTACTAACATATACCTTGGGCAAACGCTTCACTTCTCTGAATCAGTTTTCTCATCTGTAAAATGGGCTCAATGGGACATACCTATCTCATAGGGTTATTGAGAAGCAAATGTTTCGTGCCGGGTCAATTGCTAAGAACACAGTGGTGGACACAGTCCAGGCTCTCAGAGAGATTACAGTCTAGCAAGGAAGACAGATGCTAAATGGATAACCACATGATTCATCAAAGATAATAGAAATATAAATTCATAAAATATAATGTCCATTTTACAGATGTATACACTGAGGCTTAGCAGCATTAAATGGCTCACCTAAGGCCACACTGAGAGGCAAAGGCAGACCCAGGATTACACCAAGTCCCCCGACATGCCTGTTAAGCGCAGTTGTGGAAAGAGTATATGACCTGCTGCTAGACATAAGCTTGAATCCCAACTATGCCACTTACCAGAAGGGTGACCTTAAGCAAGTCATGTCACCTCCTTGAGCCTTGGTTTTCCCAGGGGTAAAATGGGAATGAGAGTATTCACGGGCCCGGGCTGTTGTAAGGAGCAAAGCACCAGCTTCTGCGCCTGGCCCATGCACCCTCAGATGCTGATGCTCCCACTTACCCTGGGGGAGGGTGAGGATGGGGACAGTGTGGTCCCTGCAGGCCCTTCCTAGCAATGCTGAAAGGCTTGGATAGAAGTAGAGTGGGGGTCTGAGCTGGCTCTGAGGTCTATTCCAGAACGGTCTCCCCTCCCAATGAGGCTCCTCTGCCAAACCTGGTTTCAGAATAGCCAGCAACGGGGGAGGGCAAAGAGATCTGGGCCAAGGCCAGAGCCAGAGGCACCTGCAGGGCCAAGGCCTTGGTCCCTCCCTCAGCGTGCCAAAGGTCGCTCCTCTCTTCCTCAAGCACCCCACGCCCTGGTAGACTTTAGACGCTGGGAGCGGAGCCCATGACAGATTTAGGCATCTCTTTGGGCTACCCTTCCTCCAAAATTCCCTACCACCCCCTTAAACCTGGACCACAGGACAGGGCAGGACCAGGGTGAGCCGCAGTGGGAGGGAGAGGACCGGACCAAGGCACATGCTGGGGCAGGGTGCAGCCAGGAGGCCCTGCATCCCTAAGCCTCAGTCTCCTCATCTGTGAAATGGAGAGATAACCCCACCTACCTCACAGGCTTGTGGAGAAGATTAGCGACGGTAGGTAGAAGCCCCTAGTGGCCCCGGGCACATAGTAGGAGCACAATCATGCCAGCAACATCCCATTCCCTGCACCCTGAAGCCAAAGAGGCTTGCAAAATTCCCTGACATGAGTCAAGAGTAACTTTGAATGAATTGGTGTCCGAACTTGTAAATTACAGTGATTTCTTCCTGCTGTCATTTTATCTTTTTTGTCTGGAAATTTTAACCTGAGCCTGGATGTGCGCTGACCCTACCAACGAGGAACAATAGATCTGTCGGCTTCAAAGGCATCCTTTGCCAAGACACCCAACTTAAAAATCTTTCGGCATCCAGGCAGTGGGCTGAATTTAAGTGCATTTAAAAGTGCGTTTGTTAAGTTCTGAATGCTGTTTTGTTTCTTTCCTCCCAATCCCCAGTGAAAACAGCTTTACTGCTTTCTTCTGACTACATAAAAGGCACCTCTTCTGAGTAAAGAAGTCGGCGGGGGGGGGGGGGGGGGTTCTGTGACGCGGG